CATAAATACATATTTTTTTTGCAAACAAAATGACAAACAACAAATGATCGCACAGGTCAATGTTTTACTTCACTTTTTTACAACTTTGAAATCTAAACTGGGAATCGATAAGAATTGAAATCAATACGCAGAATCAGAATCGGAATGGATAAAATTTAAACCATACCCAACCCTAGCCACATGTTGTGAAGTTCACTGATTTATGAACACTGATCAGTTGATGGCAAAATGGCCATACTGAGAGAGTATGTTCCAGTTTTCTGAAAAGACTAAAGATTTGTTTTCTTTTCAAAGTTTGCTTTGTTTGCCTAAAATGAACCATGTCATATCCTTCAATATCTCTTTGAAAAAGAACTTTGAACTCATTTTAATACTTGTTTAAAAGTTACAATTTAGCTGTAGGAGTGTTAAATAAAAAATAAAGATTATCATCTTCATTCAGTTGTTCCATTTCTATAGGTTTGGTAACATAAAAGCTCTTAATTCCAAAGATAATACAAGCTAATCAGTGTATTCAATAGGTTGCATTAGTGGCATTAAGTATTGTAAGTATACGACAATGTGACAATAAAACAATGCAAACTGAAGTACTTTTAAAAGCATGTACTTTCATAGTTTTACTTAAGTAAAAACCTGTCTTTACAACTTTCACTTGTAGTGGAGTAGTATTTGACCAGTAGTATCTGTACTTTCACTCAAGTAATGAAGTTGTGTACTTGTGTGTCCGCCTCTGTTGTTACTTGACAATCATTAGCGCTTATGCTCCCACTCTTGCATCCGATGATGCAACCAAGAGCAGTTTTTATGTAGCGCTCTCTGCAATTCTTCGCGCTATACCTCCCCATGATAAAATCGTCATGCTGGACAGACCATTGCCTAGTACGTGCAACTATGAGATTGCACATATACCCGGCTGTTCGAAGACAGAAGCCTAGACGATGTCTCAGTGTTAAGGCTTGCAACGACCTTACCATCAGAAGTGCACTTTCCAATGCAATTTCCACCAAGATGCAATCCCTGCCAATCTCACGGTGCCTCCTTGTTGTATAGCCTAGGTAGGTTTCTTGAAGCATCTTGGAGACGTTGCCACAGTTCTTCTGGATTTAGTCTGTCTCAGTTTGTTCTGTTTCTTCATGTGATTCCAGACAGACTGGATGATGATCAGATCAGATCTGCACTGGCTGTTGTCAGACAAAAATCTCACTGGATTATTACAATTAATGGCAAAATGAATGTTTGGAAATTTAAACTGATATTTCCTACTGACACACTACACCCATAACCCTTTATGTCACCCATAATGAACTTCGGCGCAAAGCCAACATCACCTCTTTGGAATATATCCTCTACCAGTGACAACTGCGCTGGGTCGTTCATGTTTTCAGACTGTCCTCTGACCGGATGCCAAAAAAACGTTATGTAGATCATCTGAAATCTATACTGAAGCCTTGTGGCATCCCAGCAATCTCCCTCGCAGGTCTAGCAGCTGACAAGAGTCGCCTGGAAGTCCACCTGGATCGGTCTTGATGCCTGGGAAGCGGTTATGACCCAGGCGGCAGATCCGTCATCGCAGACATGCTGCTGTACTTGTTATCCCAAAGAGTCCGAAGTGTCAACACTGTGGGCGTATTTGTGCCTCAGAGTTGGGTCTCTGCAGTCATAAAAACAGATTATCATTTGTCTACTTCAAATTTCTTCTCGGAGAAGTATTATTTTTATGGATTGGCCATTATTTAGTGCTATAAACACATTTAATGTCCGTTTCATTCATACTGGACGCCTGAGGGTGCCCTCGCGCAGAAAATCCACATAAGCATTAAAAAAGCAACATGATGCTCCAGGAAATTCCTAATACGGACAAAAGCATCCATCTGTCGCTAACTGAATAAATGAAGACAGAAATTTTTTGAATTATGACATTCAAAGAGAACATTAAAGGGGTCATATGATGCGATTTCAAGTTTTCCTTTCTCTTTGGAGTGTTACAAGCTGATTGTGAATAGATAAGATCCCTGAAGTTGCCAAGACTAAAGTCTCAAAACCAAAGAGATTAAAGGGATACTCCACCCCAAAATGAAAATTTTGTCATTAATCACTTACCCCTATGTCGTTCCAAACCCGTACAAGCTTCGTTCGTCTTCGGAACACAATTTAAGATATTTTGGATGAAAACCGGAAGGCTTGTGACTGTCCCATTGACTGCCGAGTAAATTACACTGTCAAAGTCCAGAAAAGTATGAAAAGCATCATCAGAATAGACCATCTGCCATCAGTGGTTCAATCTGAATTTTATGAAGCGACGAGAATACTTCATAGTTACCACTAGAACAACTGAACCATCTTTCATTTTTCACTTTTCAATTTACTCATCATACACAGAAAATAAACTTATTAATTATTTAAAATATAAGAATAATATATAATCATAATATACAAAATGTATTTATAATGCATTGCACACATATTTTTATAGATTAAATAATTGATTTCAATTGTATTGTAATTATGTTAACATTCCATTTATATGATATACTTTAATACGTTTATGGTGTCTTTAAATAATACAATCAAGTACACTATTAGCATGTCATTAGTAGCACTTTTTTTCCACATTAATAAAGTCTGTTTCATACAATAGTAACTTATTTTTTATTTTGCAGAAGTTCATTGCAAAACTTTAGTTAAATGTAATGCAACTTACTTTAGTAAAACTGGTTACTACAGTCATGGTTACTACAGTAAAAGCATGGTTAATTTTTGAAAGGGATATGACAAGCGCTGAGCACGACGTCCATCTCTGGCTCAGCACCAGCCAAACACAAAAGCATATCTGAATTTAGTAGTTAATCACATGACACACTGAACAATAATCACACCAGTGTGACTGTACACGTTAAAGTGCTGCTTTATATTCGAAACTCTGATCACATGTAAACGGCTTCTATTCAGTGTGAATCTTCATGTTTCCCAAGGTTTGGCAGGTTGGCAGGTGAAAGGCTTCTCTCCAGTATGAATTCTTACGTGGTCATCGAGGTGTTGTTTATGATTAAAACTTTTTCCACATTGAGAACATGTGAAAGGTTTTTCTCCACTGTGAATTCTCATGTGGATTTTAAGGTTTCCTCTTTTAGTAAAGCTCTTTCCACACAGTTTGCAGGTGTAAGGTTTCTCTCCAGTATGAATTCTCTTGTGGTCATCGAGGTGTTGTTTATGTTTAAAACTTTTCCCACATTGAGAACATGTGTAAGGCTTCTCTCCAGTATGAATTCTTGTGTGGCTTTTAAGGTTTGGTTTTTTAATGAAACTCTTTCCACACTGTTGGCAGGTGAAATAACTTCCATTTGCTGTCTTTTGAGCTCTTTTTCGTGAAGTCTTTTCAGTATGCGAGCAACTAAATGATTTTTCTCCAGTCATGAAATCATATTTCTCATGCTGAACACTGAGTTCTTGACTCTCTTCTTTCAGTGTCATCAGGTCTAATGAAAAAAAGACAAATCCAGATTAACACTATTTTTAATGGCACAAAGAACGAACATCAAAACCAACAACATGTAGATCTTATACACACCAAGCTATTAAAGGAGGTGTTAAATGTAATCTTAAAAAAGAGCATAGATTATTGATTAACATTTTATCATCATCACTTCGAATAATGGGAAGAAATTTTAAGTTAAAACAGCCGTCTCGTGCCATTTATTTTGCATTTACATCCTTATTACAAGTAATCCTGCTGGTCATAAAGAAACGACTTTCACATACATTTATCCTACATGAAGATGACTTTAGAAATAAATAGTCATGGTAAATGTAGTTTGTAATTATACATGCTTCTGTGACAGCTTTGTAGTTTAACTGATGTTTTGTTATGCGATGTTATATTTAATGCAGTCAATATACATTTAGTTAGTTCACCCAAAAATGGAAATTTTGTCATTAATTACTCACCCTCATGTTGTTCCAAACCCTCCCATAGACCGCAAGGGTCCGTACACGATCAAGGTCCAGAAATGTAGCAAGGACATCGGTAAAATAATCCATGTGACATATCAGGGGTTCAACTGTAATTTTACGAAGCTACGAGAATACTTTTTGAGCGCAAAAGAAAAAAAAACAAAAAACACTTTATTCAACAATTCATCTCCTCCACCGTAGCGCCATTTTGGAGAGTATCCACTGAACGTTAATTGCGTATGCTGTTTTGTGTCAGCTGCGTCACACGGATACGCTGTTTACGTCATTTACGCTTTGATTTGAACGAAAACAACGTACCTGAACGGAGGTCTTACGGGTTTGGAACGACATGAGGGTGAGTAATTAATGACAGAATTTTCATTTTTGGGTGAACTAGACGTTTAACCTAGGCTGTTTGTGTTTAATCATTTAAACTAACTGTAAATCATTAAAAACTCACATAATAAACAAATCAATAGGAGTACATTCGTTTTTGTATGTATTGTTTATTTTTAATATCAATGCTATTTAAGACAATATGCGTTAAGCGCCCTCCCCTGACCATTATAATGTGACGAATTCATTAAAGAATACCTTCTTTCTTATTTAATTCTGACATGATCCACCAGTTTTTCGTGACTTTTCCCTCCGTAAAATTTGGTGTCGGTAACAGCTTAAAGTCCGCATTAAATCAAAATTGACTTTATTTACTTTACTAGCGCACATTGCTAGTCTTGATGTAAACAATTAATCCGTGCAAGTTAATCCGCTGAAAAAAATATCCGCTCTGGAATGGCAGTCCTTCTCTGATGATGTCAGTTTGACGGCTTGGGCAGAATATGCTTAAACACACCCCTCCAACCGTTAGATCGCTATGAGTGAGAGACAGAGAGGAGAAGCGCAAACATAAACCCATGCCCTCCATTCAATATTCCATTTCAGCTGGAAATACATCACTACACTGAAATAAAGTCGGCAGCAACTTCCGGTTCACGCGGACTTTAACATTTGATAGCTCATTTAAAGTTAAATTGGACTAATTTTGACAGTCACGCTAAATGGAGTCGTATGGTGGGAGTCGGGAGTCGGAGTCGACTCTGGAAAAACCTGGAATCCAACACCCCTAGCTGAATGGGAAAGTTATCAATGGGTCTGTCCAGTAACTAATGATGAATGCGCAGTTTGCAGAGAAGCATTTCAGTTGCTCACGGTGGACTGTCTGACTTAAAGGGACAGTTCACCCAAAAATGAAAATTGTGTCATCGTTTACAGAGGACCAGAAGCTGTTTAGTTACCCACATTCTTCAAAGTATCTTTTTTTTATGTTCAACAGAAGAACTTTAAGCAGGTTTAGAACAACCTGGGTAACCATACCTTTAAAGAGACATTGGCCTATTGTTTTACTAAAATGTGGACAGTCTGTTAATATAATATTCCATACATTATCAGAGCTTGGTAAACAATTATTATATTTTTAGACATAATAAATAATAGATTATAATTAATGTTACACCCTATGTATTAATCATAAATATACAATAATATGTCATATACAACTTGACATTTTAAAAAGTTAAAAAAAAAGCTAAATTACTTGGATAAAAATGGGACAAATAATTATATAATCATGTAGTACTAATTTAAGCAAATGAATAAAAAAAAATTCATCCCATCCAGGTAACAGCTACAGAACTGTCAAGAAAAATACTACTAATAATATTAATATATTAATGTGTTCTGTTGCAAGTTTACATACTTGAGCATGTTTTCTAATGGTTTATTGAGTTATGAGTTCCTCACTGATTATTTGTCCCTGGGGGGGTCGTGAATGGGTGTCCCTTATTTTGCCTCGCTGAAGGTGGCAACCCTAACACGATGCAACCTGCTCCATGTCAAATAAAACATTTTTAATTACAAAATTCATGACATTCTTCAAAAATATAATTCCTTTCTGTAGAGCTGGACGTTTTAATAAGCATCAAATGAGTGAGTTCAGCTTTGAGAATGAAAACCAACCTGTTTGTTCCTCAATATCTTCATGTTTGACTCTGAATGTTTCTTCAATCTTCACGTCTTCACTCTCCTCTTTAATAAACTCCATCTTTGTTTGTTCCTCAGTATCTACATGATTGACTCTGAACGTTTCTTCAATATTCATGTCTTCACTCTCCTCTTTAATAAACTCCATCTTTATAATCGTGTGTCACATAGATCTGTAAGAGATTAATCACAGATTCCTTAAGTTATCAACAACACAGATCTTATATAAGCAAGTGTGAAGTGCTCTCAATTCCCTATTAACTACAGAGCATTTGTGATATTTACAGTTAATAATGAATATATAGCCGCGGGAATGTATTTTAAGCAGGGGGAGGGGGAGGTCACGTGACAAGAGTGACTGACATATGACGGCGGATCCAAAAGCGCTACTTTTGTTAATAAAACTTTAATTCCTTTAATATAAGTGAGTGTCTTTAGACCTTATTTATTTGGGTTAAAACGCAAGGCTATATCCATGTTTTTCATTTTGTTAAAAGTTAGATGTTTAATATAGCCTATATAGCCTATGCGAATTTGCCATTGTACTATTCTATGGCTGATGTGTTTTAAAGGGGTCATATGATGCTGCTAAAAAGAACATTATTTTGTGTATTTGGTGTAATGAAATGTGTTTATGCGGTTTAAAGTAAAAAAAAACATTATTTTCCACATACTGTACATTATTGTTTCTCCTCTATGCCCCGCCTTTTTGAAACGCGTCGATTTTTACAAAGCTCATCAGTCTGAAAAAGCGAGGTGTGCTGTGATTGGCCAGCTATCCAGTGCGTTGTGATTGGCCGAATACCTCAAGCGTGAGACGGAAATGTTACGCCCCTCACATACTGTTTGATGCCGTGTCCCGGCCGGAGCGATGAGATTAAAACCCATTACAAACGAGGCATTTGTTGCATCCAGTGGGGACATAATTAAGGATTATAATGTCTTATACTGTCTTTTTACGCGTTGCGTTGCATCGCGCCACGTAAAACCATGTCTGCATTTGTGATCGGAGAAATGACAAACAACAAGCACTACTCTACACTGCCCAAAAAACTCGCTTTAAATATAAAAAAACGTACTTACAGGCTGTGAGTCAGAACAGCCGGCATTGTAGTCTACTCTACCAGGATCAGGAAACAGTCCTCCATAAAATGCGCTGCACACATCTGAATATTTGGGTTGAACTGTTCTGGAACAGTGTTGTAAATACAACTTAACCACTGATTTCTAGTCGTGTCCTCTTTTGGAAGACCAAACAAAGTAGTTTCGCTTTCACAACGAAAAACACAGCGGCCTACCGTGTGCGAAAGCCCCGGCTTAGCCTGAGCTGAAGCCGGGCAAGAGTGAGCTGAGGCGGCGGGGTCGAGAACGACGCGCCCGGCGGATCCGACGAATGAGCGGCAACCACATGTGACGACCCCGGGCTGGACTCCGCTTCGTCCACGGTGAAAGCCGATCCGGCGATCCACAGCACTAAGTTGATGTATTCCCTCAGCGACCAGCACAGATCAGCTCCAGGCATGACGAAGCAGATATCGTCCTCTTTTGGAAGACCAAACAAAGTAGTTTCGCTTTCACAACGAAAAACACAGCGGCCTAGCGTGAGCGAAAGCCCCGGCTTAGCCTGAGCTGAAGCCGGGCAAGAGTGAGCTGAGGCGGCGGGGTCGAGAACGGCGGTCCCGGCAAAGGAGCGGTGAAAACGGTGAAAGCCAATCCGGCCATCCACAGCGCGAAGTTGATGTATTTCCTCAGCGACCAGCACGGATCAGCTCCAGGCATGACGAAGCGGATATCGTCCTCTTTTGGAAGACCAAACAAAGTAGCTTCGCTTTCACAACGAAGCACACAGCGCCTTCACGACATGGCGGCAGC